ACTTGAGCTAGTGAAGCTCAGTGAGACATTATGACAGCACCATATTTGACAGTTTATTAGATGTGGAATATGAATTTGACACATCATAATTTTAAATACCAGCATCATTTATTTTAGATAACAGCTTACTGCAAAGTCCAATTTCAAACAACTAAGCTGTTAGCGCAGTCTTGTTCTTAGCTGTAAGCAAGTTTCCTGCCACTTCTCATAATCCTCTCATTAGCATATTTTAGTATACTGTGCCGTGATAGGTTCAGGCTCATTCGTGATGCTGAAAATAAAGCTGCAACGTAGCACCCCACAATATGTATTTAGAGTTTAAGTTTCAGAGTAGAAAAATGTGAACTTTGCACTACAGTAACACATTTGATACAAATGTTAGTCTATATGATCATAATGAAACATCCAAGAGTATTAACAATTTAAACCACATTTTAGTCTTAAATTATGGGTGGACACACTTTTTTGACACATTTTTTTTTGTCCTGGCACAGATCATGTGACAGTTATAGTGTTTATCTAAGCTATAAATAGCAACTATGTTTATCAAAACCTGTTTTTGGTGGCATAGCTACCAGATCAGATGAATGTTCATTATCTCTGAGAAGTGTATAATGCTGACTAATGCCAATTGAAGGGAAGATGTCTTTGCATGTGAAAAATTCAAACATCTTATATCACACTCAAACGCATGCACGGATGTACTCACGTAAGCACCTGTAAATAAAATGTAAACAAACTGACTGAACTGACTTCATGCAAAACATGCTGTTGGTTGATGCGTCTACAGCTCATGACTCATTTTCATTTCCCTAACATATTCAAAACACTTCAAAACTCCCACCCAGACATATTCAAAAGAGAATTATTTATAACTTTGTACTTTGCCTCATGATTAAGAGAAATATGCCCCGTGTGTTCAAAAGCAATACTTTTCTTTTGGTCTTATTGTTTTGTAGATCATAACCTACAGTGACCGTCATGTTTATACATATTTATGTCCTGAATTGCAATTCACGATCTGTTTTTGCAATTCAAAGTGGTAAGGCACTAGTTAATGACTAACTAGAGATGGGTGACATAAAGGAAAAATATAAAATGTCTTAGTAAGGTGTTGGGCCACCACAAGCCACTAGAACAGCTTCAGTATGCCTTGGCATAAATTCTCCAAGGTTACGTTCACATTACAAGCCTCATTGCTCAAATCCGATTTTTTGCTCAAATCTGATCTCTCTGACACGATGGTTCATGTGACATTACTGAGTACGATGTGGGTCATTTCAGGATGCTGGTTCGTTCACATTAATGACAGATTTGAATCACTTACCTAAAGGAGTGTGAACCATCGTGTCAGAGAGTTCAGATTTGAGCAAAAAATCGGATTTGAGCAATGAGGCTTGTGATGTGAACATAGCCAAAGTGGCTCAAGTCAGATTTGAAAAGATCAGATTTGCGTGTCCACACAGCCCTGAAAACATCAGATCTGAGTCACATTAGGGCAAAAAATCGGATTTGTACTACTTCAACCTGGTAATGTTAACCAAGTCTCTGGAAGTGTAGTGGAGGGATGGAACACCATTCTTCCATAAGATATTCTTTCAGTTGGTGATGAAGGTGGAGGAGATGCTTCAAAGATGAAAATGCTACTTGTGTGAAATGTGTAGACTGAAAGAGTTTTAGGGGTGAATTAACATAACTTAGCTAAAGTTACTGGCAATCGGTGCCTCAGTGATACTGATAAATGGAACCTCAGTGGAACAGAAGTTTCTTGAGAACTTTGTTTCATGTTCATATATGATATCTTTGATGAATTTAGAACAGTGGATGCTAAAATACAACTATGTGTAAATGATCACTGTTTCCAACCAGGACAACACACCCCATCCAGTTAATGAAGACTTTCAGAGGCATCTGAATACTAGAGCCTAGTGTGTTGGATCTGAACTCTTCAGGGTGTTAAATCTCCAGGACAGGCACCCCTGTTCTACAGTAATTACTAGTTTCCTTGTTTGTATTTTATTCTGAGAGTGCACCATAATGCTTTGCCTTCATTTAAAATTACTAATTTGTTCTCTAGAGGACCAATCCTCTGGACCCTGTACAAGGGGTCAGTTTCTGAAACTGTCCCATTTTTACTGCTTATGAATTTGCATGTCTGTATTTGGTAGTTGCAAAATTATTAGCCTATCGATATTTTACCATGTCTACAGCTGAATGTAAGACACACTGAATAATGCATGTGTACTGTGAATAATACATAAAATGTAGTGATATTATGAGAGTTTTATTTTTTTTTGAAGGCATTTATTGGCTTGAATATGAACTGTGGCCCTATTATGGCCCCATCTAAAAACATCCTAGAATTGCCACTTTTTCTAATCTTTTCATGTTATAGCTTCAGGCGTCTGGTTCCTCTCAACACCTCTGTGAACATTTCTGACACAGTAATTTTCTCTAGAACAGAGAATTTCACAGCAAACCACTCTAAGTGACTTTGTTTACAACTTAACCCTGTATTTATGCAGTTTTTTTTTTTCTGAAAAACGACGCATTTCCTTTTTAAGCTTGATGAATAGACATGTAACATATCAGTTACCTGTTCATTAATAGGCTATGCTGCAGTACAATGGCAAGCGTAATGAATGGACTATAATAAGAGCTGAACTGACTCTGCTTTTTTAAGCTCGCTGTCTTTGGTTGTGTTCCCTTACAAGAGCTTCTTCACAGCCTGAATGGGCGTCCATTATGTTAGTCATATTCAGAATATTTAGCATGATTATGAACTTCACTAGGCAGTACTGAAGGGTGTTGTTGGACTGGTCTGGCGGGTCTGGGCGAGGGAGAAATGGAACTATTTCTGGAACATTCTTTCACAGCAGGCTGACTGCGAATTTGAGCTAGGTGAGCAAAATAGAAGAGCTGGAGCAAAGAGGCAACAAAAACACAGGTATGTCTACAAAGAATTTGCTGTTTTGACTGGAAAATGCAATGAAAAATTCATTGACAGTATCTTTGTTACAGTTTTGCTTGAGACATGGCGTCAAATTGTGCTAATTGAGTGCCAAGCAGCTAGTTCAGGAGTAGAGTTTCTCAGACAGCGATCGATTCTTTAGCCTGTCAGGCATTTCTGATGAGATAAGATTAGACTCAGGGGACTGTCAACAACTGCAAAGCCACAATAGGCCAGAATTAGCCAATGATGAGGGGGCTTTTAAATCATTTTGATTAAAATGTTTTTTTGTTGTTGTATGATTGTGTTACTGTATATTTAGGGGCTTCAATCATTGTCCTCGCAGTTCAATTACTTTTACAGTTCTTTAGGAAGTGATTCAATGAGTCATGAATTCAATTCAGTTCTTTTTCAATTACATTTAAAAAAAGTATTGGTAACTGGAGAAATGTAGACAACAAAACTTCAAAATAGATAATTAAAACAATACAGCAAGCTTTTGAGGGTGATGTATGCTTGTATTTGTATAAATCAGCGCATACTTTACTCAACATTATTAGAACCTGTTCTAGCTGAATCTAGCATTCTATAGGCAGTGCAGTTGTATTGACACCTTCAGATCAATGTGTTTCTACCCCCTTATATGTGTTGTACTTTCTTCGATATGACCTAATGTGTCCACAAAAAGAGGACAGTATGAAAATTATAATGCTGGACATTATGCTGGTTCAAAGAGATTATGCTGGTTTCTCAAAGAGAGAAAATGGATGCGATGCAAAACACCATTAGGAGTGTAGTTCAACTGTGTGTGTGTGTGTGTGTGTGTGTGTGTGCATGAATGTATGTATATTTCTGTCTCTGCTGCACTGAGAATTTTTAAAGCTTAGAGGAGTTAATGTGAAAGGGTCTGTCTCCTATACCACATTTTGAGCTTGCTGAATAATTACATATAGTAGTCATATGTAATATATATATATATATATATATGGAAGCTTCCACTTCAAGGACTCTACTTCAATGTAATAAGCTATGACAAAAGACAAATAAAAAATCACACAAACAGAATCATTTGAAATTTCACTTTTGTTCATTAGTTAAATAGTTACTGTGATTACATGACTTATATAAAGATATTATGTATACTCATTCAGTGGTATTAATATGATTATTATTGTTATTGTTATTATTAGTAGCAGTAATAGTAGTAGAAGTAGTAGAAGTAATGGCACTATTTGACACTAATGCTAATATGATAATGCTAACAGCCACCAAGCCCACAGTCAGCAACTTTGTGCCTTTCTGATAAAAAGTTAATATTTTTGGGGCAGTATTGTAAAGGGGGATTTGTGCCTTGTCTAAGGGTGGGGAGCCTCACTCCAAAGGTCAGCTTTTTTTCAAACAAAAAAATAAAAAAGCATCTTTTAACCATTGCTCTCAGTAGAACCCCACACATTAATCATAAAGGTTGAAGCACTTTTGAGCAGCTAGCTATTACTTCTACTACTATTACTACTACTAATAATAATAACAATAACAATAATAATCATATTAATACCACTGAATGAGTGTACATAATACACCAATATAAAACATAAATACATTAAAATAAAGGTCATCTTACCCTGCAGGGCTACTTCCTACTTGTAATACTGAATAAAATCCACATTGTACAACTTATTATTTTATTCAAAATAACAAAACCTTTGAACTTCCTAGTTGGCATAAAGTTGACATTAGCAACCCCAGTTCACGTTACCATCAAGCAGACTGTCTGATTTTCAGTCAGTTGTTGAAACAAGAACAAGCTCAGTTGTTATTTTACACTCTGAGTGGATCTAATTTTGTTCAATTAGCGCAGAAACACGTTTGTGGTGTGCTGCTTCATGAGGAATGACCACAGCTTTTATGTTCTACCACAACTATGTCTATATAATTAGTCTCATTGGCAATAACAGTTCTGTCCACAAGAAGAAGCAGGGGGGAGTAGAGGGAGTGCAAGAGCAGAGGCATGGGATGAAGCAAGAGAGTGAGGGAAAGAAAGGAGAGTGGGAGGAGGAGGAAAAATAGTGATGCATATAGAAGAGGAAACAGAGATAGGGTAATGAAATGAGCCAGAGAGAGAGGCATGTGGGAGAGACAGGCAGAGAGATAACTACAGACAATTGTCCATCTTCAAAAGAACGACAAAGGTACTGTGTCTTCAGTTTGTTCAGTTTCTACATTGTAAAAATGTTAGTAGTTCAAAGTAAATGATACTCAAATATTCCTGACAATCTCATATTTCGTTTAGTTCTTTTAAGGACGCAAAACACAGTTTTTTTAGTTAGTCGGACTAGACTTGCATGCCGACCAATGTACCTGATAAGAGAAGTAACTTAGAAAAATGCTACAGGTTTAAGAGGAATTCCACCAGTTTTTCAAAATGTCTGTCTAATTCAGTGGTTCAGATGTAAACAAAGTCATGCAGAGCGGTTTAAAGTGAAACTTCATTCTGTAGAAACTTGCAGTCAGAATTGTACACAGTGGCAATGATAGCCTTAAACAGATGTAGCATTTAAAATCTCTTACAGCTCCCTGGTAGAAAGATTTTACATGAAATAGTTATGAATAGGCTGCCTGCTGTCTGAGACACTGCTTGATGATCGGTGAGAGATAAGATTTTTCCATAAAGCATACATTTTTAAATCTGTTTATGATGGAGGGGTAAATGCAGGGAGTTGTTAGACTAAATAGTCCCCAAAAGTTGTTTTCCAATTTTTTCACTATATATTACAAATCATTGCCGTCAAAAAAAAGGATTTCCGTTTCAGTTGAATTTCATTTTTATGCACCATTTGAACACAGCAGCTGTCCTTTACATTATGTGAAAATAGACATTTTTGGTTCCTATCACCATCAAAAATCTGTGTCTGTAAGTCTCTCTACAATGAACACACATTTCACACCAAACTACTCTGAATGACTTTTTGAAAAATCTTAACTTTTTTACATCATTGTCTTCCATAGTGATTGAATAATATGCTTGAAACCAAGCAGACAGCAGGCAGTCTGAGCACTTGGTTCAGCCATAGACAATAATTTCTGCCATATATATATATATCATTACAGGAGAAGGCAAAAACAGTCTTAACTTTTAATGTAAGTCAGGGGAAAGAAGTTTTATACCAAGTCAAGAAACTGGCCCCAGACCTGTTTACTTACTGTTCAGATTTGTTTATACCATGCAACCTTAGAGTTGCCCCCACGTTTGAAATGTCGGCATTGGTTTGGCAGCGAGCGTAGTGTGACCTAATAGAGCTTAGTTCTTCTTTGTCTGCTGTTTAAACTGGTACTGTTTTCTATTCGTCATCATGTGGTTACCAGCTTCTCTTTTAGAGTTTTTGTTACGTAGGCCATTGTTCTGTTGTTTGAGGGGGGAAGAAATGGGATCAGTAATAGGATCAGTAATGAAAACACAGGCTGTATGTAGCCACTTTGAAATACAGGAATTTCCCACTTACTTATAAACAGTAACTGATGACTTCCATTGGTCTCATAACAATGTAAAGTTTGAGAAGAGGAAATAAAGAAAGTTCTTTGGCACATAGGTATTATCAAATAGCTGGCTAATTTTTACATGTATGGTGTACATTTCAAGTCATATAGCATTGTTGTGGCCCCCTTGACATGTACGCTGTGGTACAAATGAAAAAGCTAATGGCATTATGGGTATTCAAACCTGTTGCTACGCAGCTGCTATACGCTGGTTGTTGCTTACAGGCACTCTGTAATAGGCCCAGGTTGCCATTTTCATCAGTCACTGTAAGCAAGTAACTAAGTTTCTGATTTCAACTTTCTGATCAAAACTGGTACAGTCAGCCTTTTCTTGTTGTGTCCCTTAGTTCCACAATGGCAAACAAAAACTGCCATACATGGGATTCATCAGTCCTCAATTAAGCATACATTATGGTCAACATGAAGTCAGGCGATTTGGAAATACAGTTATTTGGAGTCCCAGAGTAAAATAAAAAAAAAGTGTAGGATAACTTGATAATACTAAAATTGAGCATTATATTAAACATCCAGCAAAGTTTGAGAAAGGTCTGGGTGTGGTCCTAATATTCTAATGAGCACGTGATTGACGAATGAATGAACGGATGGATGGACAAGCAAACACACGAGCAGTAAGGCGGACGGTCTAACAAACGAATGAATGGATAGGCAGACAAACAGATAAGCTAGACTGATAGCTCAGTTATACTTTGAGGTTAGCTTGTGCTTAGTGGTTAGATTTTACTTGTTTCCTTGTTTCTCTGAACACAGAAAGCCCATAGGAGAACACAGTTTTGTTAAAGCTATGTGGGGTGGACAAACCACATTGTGAGTGGTGAGGATACTGCTCACGTAAGTGCTCTCCAAGTTTAGGACTGCCCAGTTTTGGTAGACATTGTAAAGTTATTCACAGAACATACTTTGCATATTTATATTGTGTGCCCATAGAGCAAGGTTAACCTACTTCAAAAGAAGATACAAGTTTAGTTTCCCTAAAACTTTAAGACGAATCTTGGTTCATCTCTACAAAAGGTTATTTAAGGTAAATTGCAGGTCAAAGGCTGCTTTTGGATGAGCTAACACTAGAGCTAACAGTGGTAGCTTTACATGGTAAGGGGGACTCATTGTCTGCTATGTGCCAGCTCATTGAGGTATCATTGAAACCTGTTAATGTTTATCTTCTCAAATAAATTCACTTCAAATGAAAGCTCTGCTGCATGCTAACTTTAGCACCTGTAACACTCCAAATACATAATTATGTGCTTCCCAAACCGAAAGATGTGAAAAGGGCCCATTAGTCTGGTTTCTAGTATACTCTGAAAAGCATATTGTGATGTAATTCATCATAAATAACACATCATCATATCATATTATAGCTGGGATTTAAGCTTAGTGGTAATAATTTGAAATATTTCATGTTATTGTGTATTTCATGTTTCATGTTATGTCTAACACCATACTGTATCTTCTTGCTGGGCAAGATCACTAAATAGCTCAAAAATTAGCTAAAACCTGCCTGAAGTGGCACCTGAAAACTAGTTTAAAATATAGCAGGTAATATTATAGTTTCAGAACGGATAGCACTGTTGAAGTCATTTAAGCAGTACAGGGTTAACAGGGGTGGAAAATGTTTTTTGGAAAGGAGCCTGGCCCCTTTTGTTTTAAGGCTATCATTATATCTGAAACTTTAACCAAATGTCAGCCACTGGCAAGTGGTAACTTAAGACGTTTAAACTTTTACAGAAAACAAATTATTTCTTTGTCTGATTTAAAATGGAATAAAGAATCCTAGATGGTTCTTAGCTTGGACGTATGAAAAACCTCAGATTTTACTTTTATTTCTTTAAAGAACCATCCCTTGAAAGCACTGCCCCAAAGAACCCTTTCTGGTGCCTTTATTTTTAAAAAAGAAACTAAATCTTTCCATGTTCCAGAACTTTTCCTTTCCAGTTGACCATCCATCAGGAGGTCTTTTTTATACATTTTATATTATATGTACTGTTGCCTTTTTAGAAAGAGTCAAGGTTGACTTGAATGTTGCTTATAAATAAAACTCTATTATTATATACCATATCACACCAGGATCCACTTGATATGCTGTTTCTTATGTTTTACTGCTACACATAAGCTCACAGTGAGACAAAAAACAACTTATACTTTTATAATTTTCAGAATGCATGTTGTCCACACAAGCTAGAAATTTAGTTTGCTCAATCTCACAAGCTAGCCACCTTAGCAAGTTACCTACTTGCTGTGTCTTAAGACATACTTTCATGCAACGTCATTTCACTGAGCAGGAGTGCTAGTGGCATGTATGTGACATCATTGACTCTGTAATGACCTCATAGGATCCAGTGGAGCTTGGGACCGAAAGTGTATGTAGGACAAAACATATCAGGTTTGGAACATTTTTGTTTTCCACAGGCTGAGTTAGAGGTGATTTTCAAAAAAGCATTTTTCCTATTAAGAAAATCTGCTTAGACGTTGAGTTCCTAGTATGCGCGGGCACGACACCAACAAGAGAATGACATACAACTTCAGAGGTTTCTGAATAGAATACGGCGTGGCACAGCTGAAATGGACACGTCCAGTAACTCTAGCAAGCCAGAGAACAAAGTCAACTCATAGCAGTTGAATCTTCCTTAACATAAATGTAAGTTTATCACAGCGGGGTTGGGAGTTTTTTCAAGGCGCAGAACTCGAGTGGTTTTGTGTTTAAGTAACTGTAACCAGAGGGAAGAAATCTGACCCCCAAACACAAAAAAAACAGAGAGAGAGAGAGAGAGAGAGAGAGAGAAGAGAGAAGACTAAAGTTAGAGGAAATAAAGTATTTCATGTTTGCATACGTTTGCCTGGCATAGCTGTTTAGCCTCTGTTGTTTCTTGTTTCAAAGTACATGCTGCTAATGTTGTCATAGGGAAATGCTCTCATTTGCATCTATGCAGTGCATACAGGAATCTGTGTGTGTGCGTGTGTTTGTGTACGTGTAGGAATGAGTGGCATCAACATGTCATTTCTTTGTTGTCGCTTAGTATTTAAACCAGTCTTCACTCATTTGTGCATGAGCATGCAGCTGCAAAACCTAAAAAAAACAACATTTGTTTATTCTTAGGAGGTATTAAGGCATGGAAAAAGCAATGGGATAGCATGGAAAATCTCATTAGCGGAAATTAGCAATATGGTAATGATGGAAATTAAACAAACAAATGCTTTGCATCCACATCAGTGACACTGTGTGTTTTGTTTATTTAATAATAAGAATAACAATAACCATAATAGGTTTAATTTAAAGTGCCTTCTTTAAAGTCAAGGACACTTTTCAATTACATTTCAACAGCAAACAAAATGTACACACACACAGTTCCCCGGCTGAAAAGAAGAGAAACTGCCACCTGTTATGTATATTTCTCTGGAAGACTCCACTGTCATAATGCAGCGTTCCCAGCTCATGGACTAATCATACTCCACTACCACAGGGAAAAGTGACCCTGCTCGTGGCCTAGTCAAAGTCGACTGTCACAGTGCGAAGTCCTTGGTTCACGGCCTAGTTAAACTTGGCTACCTTGGTAAAGAGTGATCCAGCTTGCAGCCATGTTATTTCAAAATCCATGACTTGCGGCCCAGTCAACCTCTGTTGTCAAAATCCCTGACTCATGGCCTGGTCAAACTCTGCTGTCACAGTGAAACGTATCTTGGCTAATGGCCTAGTCAAACTTCACCAGCACAGTAACATACGTCCCGGCTCATGACATAGTTAACCTTCGCTACCATGATAAGAAGTATCCTGTTTGAACTTTGCTAATGCAGTGAAAAGTGTCCTGACATGTGGCCTTATCAAATTCCACTACTGCAGTGAGAAGTATCCTGGCTCACGTCCAGGTTGAACTCCACGGCCAAAGTAGAAATTGTCCTGGCTTGCGGCCTAGTCCACGTGAGAAGTGTCCCAGCTCACGGTGGAGTCGAACTCCGTTACTGAGGTGTAAAGGGTCCTGGTTCTGGCCTACACCAATTCTGCTACTGCTGTTTTCGTAGACACATTGTGGTTCATCAGCCAGGTACTGGTATCACTACAGTATGTGACACCAAAATCATAGCCATACCCTATAGACAGTGGTGTCAGTTGCATCAGTTGCAAACATCTTTTGGGCTTGAATGACACATGAATGCCTGTGGGCTGTGATTGATCCAGTCATGTGGCATGTTCTACTACGAAATCTCTTAAAAGAATTTTGGTCAAATTAAATTCTCTATTTCTCCACCCTGATACTAACATCATAAAAATGTCTTAATGTGCTTTTGAATGATCGTGCCTAAAGTACATTAATGTTATTTTGCTTTTTCTTGTTGTTACATATTTACCTTAACTTTGTTTTCATTTGAATCTCCAGGATATGGTTAAAAGACCTCTTCTCCAAGACCAGATCCCTGAGATGGATTCACCATAGGAATACTACTATCAATTTTTATTTTGCTTTTTCATGACCTGTTTTAAGGAATACAAAAAAAAACTTTTAATCCAAATGGTACAGCTGAACCTAGATGGACCAAGCTGTATTGGACCTTGATCATGGCCCTAAGCAAAGGAACGATTTGACTGTCCTGCCATTGTAAGCCTTTTTTAGTCTTGTTATTATAATATATTTATTGTATTTACTTCTTACAAGAGAAAACAGAGCTTTTGAAGATAGCTAGGCTTTTACGTTCATTGGGCCAGCATGCAGAATGACTCACACAACTGCCTGGAAATGGGAGGAGTGTCAAAGAGTGAAGAGCCAATGGAACCTCGCAAGCAGTGGCATGGAGATGGGTATTTCAATGAAGATTCCCTGGAATTAACAAACACAAAAAACTCTGAGGACTTCACATCCAAAAAGAAAGATGTTGGAGAAATCATCAAATGCAGCAGCCATAAAGATACACAGATAGACAATGATGCTGTTAAGACAGAGAATAACCAAACGCAAAATGATGCCCAAATCATGCACAATAATGGACAAAGCACTCTCAAAGATGCTGACACCACACCCAGCACTGACAATAGTACATGCAATGTCAAAGACAGTTTGCCCAGCAGTAACAAAACAGAGCATTCTAGTACTGTCTCCCAAACCTGTAGTAGGGGCACGCATGATGCCAAACAGCTTAACATCGAGCTTGGAACTGCCAAGCAGGAGAGTGCCCCTGAACCTCTTAAAGTGTGCACATCCTTTAAGCCATCCAATACAACCCAAAACAGCCCTGTGAACACGTTAAGCCAAAGCACTGAAACCCACAACTTAGAAGCAAACACTTTGAATGGACTTGGCATCCCTTACTCTGCACATTCTGAATCCAACGGGGAATGTAGGACCACGAATTTAGAAAAATCTGAAGGTTTCAGAACTCAACGCGGCATTGCTGAAGGTATGTGCTGCTGTTATCAGGCGGTACGACAAGCATTTCTACGGTGCCTGGAGGAGACTTCTATTGTGGTTCCGGGCCTGGTGTTGACCATCTTGTTCTGTGTGACCATCATCATAATCATCCCCACCACCGGAAGAGTAAGTAAATGAATGAATGAATATTCAGATGAATGGATGGAGTGATGGATGGACTCACTCATTCATTTCATTACACAACCATTTGTCCAATTTCAGTTTCTCCATATCAATCCCAGTATGTTTAACACTCTAACTTAAGTGATCCAACTAATCCAACTTACAATCCCTTCTTGAGATAAAGTAGATATATTAAAGAAGGGGAAACACTAACATTTGCAAAGTAAGGGTACTCCAGGACCAGGGTTTAAAACTACTAAACTATTCATCAAACCGACAAGATTGTTTGCATTATTTTCTAGCATAGGACTTTCACAGTAAAGAATCTTCCCTTCTTTCTGTCTCTCTCTCTCTCTTCCTCACTCTCCCAGAGTATCAGTGTTCACGTAGGAGCCTTGTCGGTGGTGTGTATCGTGCTCTGTCTGTGTGTGCCAGTCTTGGTCAGTCTGCCGTGCCTACCTGCCCTTCGTCGGTGTGAAACGTTGCTGGCTCTCTCTATCTGGATTGCGCTCTTCATCACCGCCATTGTCTTCATCTTCACTGGGGGAGTCATTACCGCATGGGAACAAGTCAGTCTCTCTCCGGCTGTGTCCCAAATGTCCCACCCACATATGCATTTATTGATTAAACACAGACAATCAGGAACTAGAAACAAAATATTCAGGTTCTTCTGAAAAGAGATAGTCTTCTTCAGTTCTTGCAAGATTCTGCACCCCCATCTCTAGTTAGCAATCAGTTAGAATTAAATAGAATTGTGATTAATAACATTCTTCTGATGAAATACTGCACATGCAAAGGCTACCCAAAAGCCAGTTAAGCCAACATCTAGGGTACTTGCTTTAGGACATCATGCTAATATGATAAGAAAAAATGAGTAGCTATGCCATACAAGTTAATTATTTGCCTTGACCTTATTCGTAGCTATTCACAACATTTAAGGATACACGAAAAGAGGCTAATAATAGAGAAACAAGCCAGACAGCAAAGTGTTGAACAAGAAGTCTTCGACTGATTGACAGGCTAACCTACATATTATTTGCGTCAACGTATTATTCTTGTCATTTCCATTACAGCATTAGTCACACATCTACATCATTAAACACATGTTAAGCTGCACAAACTAAATAGGCAAAATTAATGATTATAGCTGACTAATTAATGATAATTAAATGGGAATTCCAGTAGTTTTCAAAATTTCTGCATGATTACTTTTTAAGACAAAGACTTGCCAAATCATAATGTTTCACACCCTTCATGAAAGCTCCCTCATAGAAATTTATTACATGAATGAATAAACTGTCTGATGTCTGCAACACTGTTTTACAGTAGTTTTACAGTCGTTTTAATAGTTTACAATCAGATTTTGGCCTAAAATGTATTTTTTTTTTTAAATAAACCTTTGTCTGAGATGTACATGCTGTGTAAGGTTAAATAGTACCCAAAGAAAACTTTGTGATTACCATTATTTTACCATCACTGACATTCCATATAGCATAAAAACTTAGAAGACATGTGCATGTCCACTGGTGGTTTTGGATAGTAAATAAAAGGCCATACTACTGTTGTAAATATCATGAACATGGTTGCATGAAATAAATATCATGAACATCACCACCACTGTGAAGAAATCCAGAAAGTCAGTATTTCACATCAAGTCACGCTGAGTGACTTAGCATCTAGAACGCTTGAAAAAATTATTTGAGTGGTGAAAGAAATTGATTCAATTCACTTCCGTTTTTTGTTGTACCTGTTTCAACTCCCTGTGTAGAAAACAGAACTAGCCTTTAGGCTAAACAGAGTCAGTGAGGTAAGTTAATAAAGTACAGCCAACATTTTGGGTGTTCTCAATAGAACATTCAAAAATAGGAACTGGAACAGTCATAATAACAGCAATTAATGATGTAACTGTCTGTTTGGTCATTTTATTTCACTCTAAGCATCTAATTTGGCTAATTAGCTACCTTGCTTTCTTGTTAGCTTAACCTCTGACATGAAACAATACTCTGTGCTGTTCTGCACAGAAATGCACTTATCAGTTCTCCTCCTGAGAATGAGCTGATGCATTATCTAGCTTTTTTACTAGTTATGTTAGCTTAACTAGTTGTGCTGATATGAAAGTTTTCTTGCAAACTTTTCTGCACACAAATGCAGTTACACAGAATCACATGTAGAATAAAACAAAGCTTGTATTTTACTCTGTCAAGAGTGAAAATATGACCAACAACACTCACTTTGTTGAGGCTTTGCACAGATGTTAATAACATTAGTGTCAGCATCCTAACTAGCTTATGCATCCTTAAATTCTAAAAATAGCAACTGACACATCGTCGAACCATTCCGGTTTACATTCTGATTGAGGGTCATGTAAACATCATACTCTGACATACTTCTTAGATCAGAATAAGGCCTAGAAATCTGCTTAAGAAATCCAATGAAGAAATTTGGATTTTAGCTCAGTAATCAGGTTTCAGTGTACCTAAACCCTTACTCTGATTTCTTTCATTTTTCTCAGTCTGTGCATGTCCAAAAATAGACCAGTAGTGCAAATAACAATCAGGACCCACATGGCAACAAAACACCTTTGGAGCGATGCTGAAGCCAGCTACATGCTTGACCAAATTAAGAATTTAAATATTCTATGTCTTCCGCTGAAGTGACTTGATGTTCTAAAAAAAGCCTCTGCATAACATTTGAGTTCTACATCTTGTTCTGTGAGTTTGTTGCTGGATTGCAAAGCAGAAATCTGACTCTTGCCCAACTCATGTAGACCCGGAGTTTTCCATTATCAGATTACCTAAATGCATGTAAACATGTTGAAGAGATAACCTAATTTCAAAATCTGAACTTCTGCAGTTATCAGATAATTAAGGGCATGCAAACATACTTATTGTTGTTTCACACATCATGATTGGCTCAAGGAAGTGCAACAGTATTCCAGAAGCATGTTATTTACCAGTGAAACATGGCTGTTTTGACAGCATGTAGAATGCAGGAAACAGTATGTTTGTGTAGCATTACTTTGTTTAATGTTCAGGCTTGCAGATCATGTCAACACTATTCTTCTGGCCTAATCTTGTCCTCTCTCTCTCTCTCTCTCTCTCTCTCTCTCAGGTGGCTTTCTTTCTCTTTCTCTCTCTATCAGTATACACGATTCTGCCTCTTAGTCTTTCCTGGGCACTGATCTTCGGCATTGGAGCCAGCGTGTGTCACATCATCATTATCAGTGTCTATGTGTCCATCACCAGCCCGAGTACAAGGGATCTGGCAGTGCAGGTAAGAAAAACACATACACAAATGACTGTACTGGAAAATGCTGAGGTAAAACAGAAAAGGTCGAATGCAAAATTATTCAAATGCACCTCAGACCAGCTAACCACAAAAGAAAAACACCCCCTCACTGACACACGCATATACCTATGAATAAAAAGCTTGCGAGTGTAGACTGCTAATTTCAATGCACCTGCAGAACATGTGCTGCTAGTGCTGTAACTTGACGCAGTTACTTGCATCTGCCTCATTTTCAAAGCACATTCAAAACACTTTCCACAACTGGTGTCCAGCATTTTTTATAACTTTGTCCTACACCACAATTCACGTTCAGGCCAAATCCATCCTATAAATATTCAAACTGCTACTGTTATTTTGGTATTGTCATTCTGTGGATCATACATCATCCTACAGCGTTTATACAATGTCTGTTGTAATTGTTCTATAATACATATCACCCATCAAGACGACAATATTAATCCTCAGAAGTTATTACTGTCGTTTTGTGATACTTCGCAAATACGAAATTATTTATATGAGTTACATTTACATTTAATTTTCATTCTTTATTGACAGGTTTGTGACTGACCCTTTTCTGTTTGTTTTAATGTCAAAAAGGCAAAAATGTGACCCAAAACAAGATGGTAAATACATTAAATTCAGATCACAATAAAATACTGTAGCATCAGCATGG